ATCTCGATCTTGAGTTTTTTGCTGGAGAGAGAGCTAGGGCTTTGGTAGGGGCACGATGGGGATTTAAAAAGTTGGAGGAGGGGGGCGGAGGAATGAGGCAGTGGCAGAATCGTAAATTTGGGAAAATAGACGATGGTTTGGAGGTGAAGAGGGCCGTCATGGCTTTGAAGGCCTGGAGTCTTGGTGACCAACCAAAAGAGGTGTGGGGGGGGGAGGGAGAGAGTATAGAAAATTTTGGATTTTCATATCTATTCTATTTGTACCTTAGCCCCTAATGTGGAAATGTGCAAATAAATATAGAAATGCAGTTGTTTTTCGTTAACTTTTTTGTTTTTTATACTTTAAATTTAAATTTTGTCATTTTTTGGAAAAACATGTCCTTTTATTAGAGAAAATCTCATAAACACTACTATAATCATTCGCACATGATAAGTACGTGGCGTATCATAAATATTTTCGTATGTATTTATGTATGCATGCATTATATATGAGATTAAAAAAACCTTTTCCTGTTAATATTTAGATAGTTAAGAAATGTGATACTGTCAAATATCAAAATATTAAAAGAAAATAGGAAAAAAAAGTTTAAAATTTTGGGGTGTGTGTGTGTTTATGGAGTAAATAAATAGTCAAATTATTAAAAATAGATAGCATGTATATCATGTGCAAATGATGATTATGATGATATGTTAAAAACTTTGTAAAATTGTCTCTAATAAAAATAAACTACTTTCCCCCCCCCAAAAAAAAATTTCAAGTATATGAAGAGTATCATATTTCAAATTTATGACATGGTAAAGCTTGATCTACTTTTGTAAAGAAATTTCAACTTGGTTGCTTTTTATAATTCAATTTGAAATCTGGATGCTTCTGAAAAATTGTCCAAAATTCACATTTTACTCTTTATCAGTTTGAAACATAACGATGTTAATAGTGATATTCTGACTCATCGATCTCCTAGGAACAATTTGCTTATGGCCCGATCTTACATAACACATCAAGCCCGTGACCCGATCCAAAGAAGCACCACCAGCCTATGGGCCACAAGCCCATTTTATTCAGCCCATTTGATTCAGCCTGAGCACCACCCACCGTCAATGGCTTCTAAAAGACTACATGATCCAAATCTTCGAGATTAAAAAATAAAATAAACTTGCAATACTAGACTTAAAAGAATTGTGTTCACTCTCGAGGAGATTTCTCATTCATCCAGTGAAAGCTGAATGGTACTTTAGACCCTGTACATGATGGTATTAATTACTGTCAAAAAAAAAAGAAATTTTCAAAACCGACCCAATTTTTTTATTTATCAAAATCGACTCACTTTTTGCCACGTCAGCTTAATCTCATTTCCTAATTAGTCGGGGTTGCCAACCCCGACTATTTAGGACAGCAAAAACCAGGTTTAAAGCTTCTAATTGGGGTTTAATAATCTCCTAAACAGTCGGTGTTGGGGTTTAACAATCTCCTAAACAGTCGAGGTTGCCAACCCCGACTGTTTCAGAATGTGATTAAGCTGACGTGACAAAAAGTAGATCGATTTTGATAAATAAAAAAGAAGCTGGGCAGTTTTGAAAATAAAAACATGGTTTGGGTCGGTTTTAAAAATTCGTCAAAAGAATAATAAAAAAAAGGGAGGGGGGGGGG